CGCCGCCCGCCGCCCCGCCGCCCGGGCTGCAGCGCGCCACTCTGCCTCCGCTACCTTTTTGCTGCCCCCTTCAGTCTGCCTCTGGAGGCCGCAGCTGGCCAGCCCGAGCCTAGCTCTGCTTCTGATGTTACACAGGACTGAAATAGTGAAGCTAGCTCAAAGCCAAATGCCTGTCGCAGCACGGGAAATCAGCTGGGAAGTCTGCGCTGCTGTGGCTAGGCAGTTCCCTGTCTCCAGACAGGTCTGGGAAGCCGTACGAAGCACAGTTATGATGACCTCTTAAAAATACTTGATACCTTCTCCCACATGCTCTCTTCTGCCTGAGGCATCTTTCCTCAAAAGATCTGTGTAGTTGCTGAACAGTTTGCATATCCTATCTTAATCAGACTGAGGTGGGAGCCTTGTTTGGTACCTCACCTATTCAAGAAGAAGACAAGCCAAGAAGGATAGGAGTTGATCAATACTGTTTTACCAGCCAGCCCAGGAGAGAAGGCAATTATGAAATCAGGTACCCTTAGAAAGCTCATCTTCTTCTTGAACCACCTTTCCTCTCAGGAAATACCATTTATCTTTTCCACGCTAGGGCAATGCTGTAATAGCCTCCCTCCCCCCCCCAAAAAAAAGGCTTCAGTGATTTAAATGTAAATAACAGGTCGTGTATTTGATACAGTTTAATTATCCCTGAAGCTCCGTGAGTTATTGATTGTCCTTTCTGGCAGAAATCTGGTGAACACAGAGGTGAAGCAAAGTTAGTGAGTTTGGTACTTAAGTGTTGTCTCCGGAAGGCACTCTCTATGCCTGGATCCTCCCAAATAAGCCAGATGAAACATATACTGCCTGGCTGAGGTTACCAAGAAATACTACATCAAAATCTGTATATAAACCCTGATTTTAGAGGAAGATTGAAAACTATTATTGGATTATTATTGTAGGTTTTATTTCCTAGGTATTTGATATATACTATAATAGTATGGAAATATGCAGTATAATGAATATCTCAGCACTGTGCCTTCTAATAAGCTGTCTCTGACAGATTTTAAAGGTGATTAGGCAGGTGCTTACTGAGATTGTTAAAAGTATCTAGGGGATTAAAGTTCCCTTTGAAATTCTTATTAGAAGTTTATCTGCCTAAGTGTCCCAATTCCATTAAAAGTCAGGCTTGCAGGCCTTATGACTGAAGCCATTTGATTTTACACCTAAGCTGATGAAATGTTAGGCTATTTCCAAATGGGATGGTTCTTCTCTTTCTTCATTGCCCCCAGCCCCATGTCCCATTTTCCTTGCACCAGATCTAACAGTCATGCAGTTGTGGAGTAGGATATGATAGGAAAAAGTATGTTCTCTGTCACATCCAGTGGTAGATCCAGTGGCAGCCTACACCATTGTAGGAATAGCATGAAGAGCATCAAGCTGTATGCCCTGGGTGTACGTGGCCCTGTGCTCTCCTCTTTTTGGTTTCTTTATGGCATTCAGAAAAGTTAGTCGGATTCTAGTGATGTTTAATTAGTTTGTAATAAAAATAGCTGATGGCGTTAGAGGTGGTGAATGTGCAGAATCCAAACAAGACACTGTCAATACTATTAGCACACCAAGTAATGGTTTTAGACAGTTTGCTACGAGTTGGACATCTTAAAGTGGGTAGCAGACTTGAAGTTTTGCCTTGGCTGTGTATCAAGATAGTCCAGCCAGAGAAGCCTCTTAGCATATTCTAACCATGGCACAGTTTTTCTGTATTGCCATTTTTCACTTGCCTTTTAGTCTTCTCAACTGATCTGGCTTGAGGCAATTCTAGCCAGCTCTGCTCAGAACAACCATTCTGGTTGTTAAGCATCAGGAAAAGGCCATACTAAGTAATTTTTGAGTCAGCAGGTCACACTTTTATAACCCTTTTTAGGTAAGGGAACATATTAATGTGATCCTCCCCAAGCCTCAGCGTAAGTAGAAAATAATTTAATTCTCTCATGCCAAAGTGAACCAACCAGTCGGCCCTAACAACAACAAAAGCAGTGAAAATGTGGTTCTAACAAGACACCTGACAAACTGCAGTGCTTCCCTAATTATCTTCTTGTCATATCTGTTTAGTGTGAATCATGTACTGAATAGATGCTCAAGCAATGAGGAGCAAACGGAGGGAACCCACTGCCCGTCGCAGTTCTGCGAAGCCAGCCTGCGCTGCAGACTTCGGATGCACGTAAGGCCCTTTCCGTGTATTTCTCTGTGGGAGACTGGATCACTGAGACACTCCAGGCTCTTGGGGCACAGACTGCTGCGGTACCTACCACACTTGGCTCTGTTTTAGGCACTACCACAGCACAAAAAATAACAACAATCTCATATTTCTTCTGTGCTTTGCTTGGAAAAATTATCATTACATTTAAAAAATTACATAAATTTAAAAAACATTTTAGTTTGTCTTGAGATAAACCTGTACCAGTCCTATCTTCAGGCCATTGCAACGGTGTATCAGTGCATGATTGCACGTAGAAACAAAAGTTACTTGCTAACTGTAATTGTCCACAGTACAAACATAAAATACAAGTTAAAGCTAATTGCTGAAGTTCAGTCATCTTGAGTCATTTCAAATGCAAAATTTAGGTGGTAAAATACAAACTCTATTCCAAGCTGATCCCTTTAGTAGCTCTTGGCTTCCCCCATCAATATTGTGGTGTCATTCTGTGTAGGAATTCCTCATTATGCTTCTGTTGTAGTATGCTTTGTACATCTACCTAACAAAGAAGTGGATAAATTTTAGTTTATGAAGTTAGAAGTGCAAATAACCTCACAGCCATAAAAATGTGATTTTTTTTTTTAACCACTGCCGCTGTGTGTCTGTGACCATTTCAGTACTGTTTCTTCAGGCTCTTACCCACCCGAGTGTATAGGTGAGTAATCAAGGACTACTGTTTATCTCTGTAAAATGACTGTAATTTGCAGAGCCTTAACTTCTCTGGGCCTCACTTCCCTGTATTTTAAAATGAGGTTAGTACAATACTTGAAGCTTCATATTTGCAGGAAATTTTACTGGCTTGAGTAGAGTGGTATAATTATGCCAGTACAGATGTATCATAATATTTTCTCATGCAGGCAAGTCCTTCATTTGTTACCTCATATCTGCTTGCTGGAAATGATGACTTGGTGAAAGCCAGCGTATGTGCTGAAGAACTGGGTTTAATTCAATCACATTTGTGCTACACTGATCTAAGTACTGTAAAGGTGCCTTTTAAAACAGTATCTAGCAAAACTTGCCTTTCCTCAGGTGGACTCCAAACTTTCAACTAAATCTACTTTTGAGCAGACACTTGCAGATTCAAAGAGAGTTCAAATTTATTTCAGAGGGCCATAGATGGAGTAAGAATTCATTACTATATATCTGATTGCACAGGAAGCCTCACGCACTTTAATAGGTTTACTTGCATAAATCAGGAGTAACTGCAGTAGTAAGTATGGCCAGGGTGAGGTCCACATGTAAAGTATCTTGGCATATAAAGAGTGATCTGTTATTGGAAGGTATTATTATATTAATAATGACCTCAATATTGAAAGTAGACACCGGTCAGTGGGTAAGGGGGAGAATCACCTATAAGCAAGAGGCAGGATGAAATCCATTTCAATCAGAGTGTTACCAATTATTAATTTTAATTGCAGGTCTCATGCTACTTGGGGTTTTTCTTCAAGCTCCAGCTGCCGGAGTCGAGGGACTGCAGAAGCAGCCCGGCGGTGCTGTAGCGAGTAGAAAAGCACGTTTGCAAATCCTGCCAGCCCTTAGGGTTGCGGGGCAAACTTGGCGGACACGGAGCGGGTGCGTCGCGGCCGCCAAGAAACCAGGAGGAAAAACCACACTGC